TCCTAGACCAAGTTGGACGATAACACAACAGGACAAGAACTGTATGGAAAATATGGTGCGAAAGGAGCAAAGGATACTAAAGTCTTGCTAGCTTGTGGTAAGTTCACTTAAAAATGGTAATTATCTTAATTTAATTATAAACACTGCAGTACACATATAAACATACCTGTGTTTGTTTGAGAAATAGTCATTTAATCAATATATATTATTATAACAACCATTCAACTTCATGTTACAAATGCATGGAGGCTCCGTGTGTTGGAACTTAATATAGTTTTCTTGATAAACTTAACCTGGTTTTAATTATACTCAGTATGCCAAAGAGACTGTGATATTGTGAGGCTGTTATAACTCATTTTTCATTGTTTTGTCTTTAACACATTTTTGCAGTCTAAGTAAATTGAAAGAGAAAGCCAGAGAGATCAAGTGTTTGAAAACCTAAAGACTTTCCTGTTTCAGAAGAGGCTCTGGCTCCACCAGATCACCAATCAGTTCTGAGGATGAACCTCCACATTGTCTTCATGATGTAAAGCTTTTTTTCTTTTTTCTTTTTTTTTTACCAGAGCAGCTGGCTACATTTTTAACATCAGCAAACACTGGTGTGTTTCCAACGGTAAGTGCTTAATAAACACATCTTGATTTGAAAATAATTGGACAGAATTTATTCCCCTTGTTAATCTACCACTTCTTTTTCATACATTTTATTCATTGATAGCTTTCAGGGCCCTGTGATGGACTGGTGATCTGTCCAGGAGGATCTCCACCTCTCATCTCACAGTGATGGCATAGTTACTTTGAAAAAGTAACATTAATTGGATTACCAATTATTCCTTGAAAAAGTAAATTAGTTAAATTACTGATTACTTGATTTGGAAAGTAACTAAATTACATTAAAAGTAACTTTTTAGTTACTTTCAGCAGCTGCTAACACTCCGCCACCTGTGAAAATTACTTTGAGCTTTGCCAAAACTTAATTGCAAGCTATTTTATAATAGTAACATCAACAATGTCTTTCAACTTATAAGGTTGCTTAATGGTTACAACAGCACAAAAAGTTTGTAATTTGTGTGTTCCACTATTGTCTGGAATACTCTAAGA